GCAGCAACAGAGATTCACAAGTGTGTTTGTTGACGAACGTTTTATAAACAAGGCCCAGTTCGACGCTGGATTTGCACATCGTTTGATACTGAAAGATGGAGCGGTCCCAGCTATAAAAGATCCCGGTCATGATTCAGAACCGCAGACGGTAAGTGAAATGCATCAAATGTCTGTTTTGTTGGCATTCGGCGCCCAAGTGCTCGTCACTCTTTAGCTCCGCCCACAGCGCGCCTCCAGGAGCTGCTTTTTCGGGAGAGAATTGTAAAGCTGTATCTTTATTTCATAAACATGATCAAACTAAAGACTTTTTGGAGATATGAAGGATGCAGTATGACTCTATAGGTACTCAAGATTAACATGAGATTGGGTGAAACTGTTTGTGTTATGCCCCCTTTAAATAATTTTTTTTAATGTGCATAAAAATAGAATGCACTGTAAGACAAATGCATAAATGCAAAATAAATGAACAGTTTAATAAAATAAAATGTAATAAAACTCTATAAAACGATCACTATTAAAGGTACATTCCATTGTATGAGTGACCATAAATGCTGTGTGCCTCTGCACTGTCAAAGGAATCAACCTCACAGGAACTGAAGAGGAGCAATGTTCATCAGTACATGAGCAATGTTGGGTTTCCGTGATGGATTGCCATGACCCGTGCAAAGATAAGAAACACGGGCACAGCCTCGCAGGTATTGGCCTGAGTTTGCAAATGCAGCCCCCTAGCGTGGGATGTGCACACAGTGTCCATTCACAGACTTTCCAGCACAAGAGTCAGCAGCAGCTTCTGTGGGTGATGCAAATGCATCATAACATAATCTCACCACATACTTTGATTAGCATGTTTTATCAATTGCATCGTAAAACACAGATGAGAGTTTGCTAAAGCACTTCGTGCTGATAGGAATATTAATATGGAAATCTTATTGAATTACTAATCAGTGCTGGGCATAGAGATTGCATACATCATCCCACACTCAGACGGAAAGATTTTATGCACTGCAAATATTTCAAATTGTGAAGGACAGGACGCTTTAAATCACATTTATAGTTGACAGTCGTTAAAATGGTCTTGAAAACTTGGTTAACTTTTTGCCATCCATATATATATATACATACATACATACATACATATATATATATATATATTTTTTGTGCTATTTATGAGCAAAAAATTAGCTTTAGCAGACATTTGGCAGAAATGTTCTTCTCTGAGCTGCCAAATCCTATCTTCTGCAGATGGATGAAAGAATGTGTGACACTGTGGAGGAAGTCGCTGCAGAGTGATAGAACACATTACTCTGCATTCCACAGACAGAGGAAATGTGCTCATCCCTCCAAAATCCTATCATGTTCTTTCCAGTCTCTTCCTTCAGAGTTTGTAGATCAGAAAGCTGCTCCGAGCAGGGGAGGGGAGTGAACTCTTAATAATGGACAGTTGTTAAATTTTTAGCTACTTTACCCTCCTTGAAGAATGCTAAACACAGAATATGAACATTTTTCTTATAACAAATTTTAGTGCACAGATTTTTGGAATTCTTTATTCTGATTGGTCAGTCGCGTATTCTGCAGTCCAAATTTTTTTTTAATTCTTTTGAATATATATATATATATATATATATATATA